ACGTTTTTCTAAATTTAATATTAATAACAACAAAGACAGACTGAATAACAATAATATATCGATTAAATACACAAATGTTTCATATTCATCGTATTTTAATAAGTTATTTTAGTCGTAAATATGTTCTCGTAATATGTTTGTTCAGTTATCAATAAGATGAGAATAAATCAATATTTGTGTGTATACATATAATGTAGGATAACATTTGAATCTAGTCGAATGTTTGAACTCTTCGCGATGTTTTTCTTAAGAGGTACATTTTTTGTTGTTTACTTTTGTTACCCAGAATTCTTCATATACGTGTTTTGGTATAGATTCGATTGTATCCTAATAATATTTGTTATTTTTGTTATGTAATATTGGAATTCAATTGATGCTCTAAATCTAGGTTTTAGAATAGAAATCGATGCAAGAAGACTTCAGCTTTTTTTTGTGGAGGAAAATCATCAAATGGCTTCTCCCGCCCAGGGCGGGCGGGAGGGAGTGTCAGACTCTTACTGACTAAAAACCGCCTTGTTCCTTCTCCTGCTCTGGGCCGACGTCGCGGTGCCTCATTGCGCTTACCCCGCAACCCCGGCTGAAAAGAAGACTTCAGCTTAACGTATTATCTGAGAGGAACGGAAGGAGGAACAAATTAGTGATAATCATAAGAATATAATTTGGATGTGTGATTGTTATGCTTTCGCGCAAAACGGCTAGACCGATTTGATAGAAATTTTAATATATACATATAGATACCCTGAATTAACATAGAGGCTGCTTTTTATCAACATACCACGTGGGTGAAGGTGCGGGTGGAAGTAATCACCTAATAATAACGCCAGTTAAGATAACACATGTGAGAAAAATTAAATAATTATAAATAATTTTTCCATTCGCTTAAAAAACATGTACAAAATAAAAATAAAATAGAGATCTTACATATACTACCTACACGAGTAAAAAACATCCACAAAAATCAAGAAACGAAAAGAATCTCAAAGGAAACGAACTATCACAAAAACCATATAAATTATTTGAAATTGTGTTATAAAAATGTATGAGATTTATAAGTTTATTGTCCAAGGGTATTGGTGACGGGGCCCGGGGAGTGTGGACCCTTCAAACATGCTTTGAATTGAGATCGCGAGATTTGGTATTAAAAATAGATTGCGCGATCGTCGTGATTATTCTTCTGATCGACACGTATAATAAGAGTGGAAAGTGAAAGTATTTTTTGTCTGTAAACAGCGTAGATTTAAAACTAGATAAGTTGCATAACTTTATTGACAAGAAATATGAACAAAATATTTCATGTCAATAAAAATATGTTGTTTTTTAATGTGTTCATTTGGATTTGGACTTTGGTTAAATAAAATATTTTTAAATTTTTAGTTTCCTATAATTTTTAAGTGGTTTGCCGATTTAATTTTCTTTCCCGGTGTGACGCAACATGTGAATATGTTGCGTCACACCGGGAAAGAATTCTTCCTCGAAGGCTTCGGGAGAATGAATAACCTGCTAGCAAGCATTCCATACCACCTGTATATGGACGCTTGCAATAACAAAGTCGTGAAAACCGGTGTGAAACAACTACAGCGTTGTGTTTCGCATCGTGAATGCGGAGGCCCAATCCTCTGAATCTCCAAATCCCTACTAAAAAGGTCGGCAACGCCCTCGTAACACCCCGTTGTTCCTTATATTTTGTGGGCTGCGCCGATTGCTTACCATCAGGTATTCCGCATGCTCCTTTGCTATTCTATCGCATAAAAAAATTCTTGAGTTGTTGGTTTTTTATGAGATTAAGGAATATCATCTTAAGACATGACTCTCGTACACTTAAATTATTTCGTACAAAACCGAGTCGTTTTCGTGAAAAAAAATCTAGATTTATCATTTCATTAGTTTCTTCTCTTACGAATGCAGTGTTTCTCTTTAAGATTTATATCTCTTTTTAAATAGGTACTATATGCGGGCAAAGTCATAGGCAAAAGGCTACTACAATATTTTGTTAAGCTGTTTACGAATCTTGACTTATAATACCTTATTTCTAAGCCCCGGTTTTAGTCGAGGATCACGCGTGTTTCGTATCGCAAACGTTTTGACATGCGAATTTGTTGCGTGTAATGGCATCATAATAATTCAGTATTTTGAGATAATTTAAGTGGTGGATTATGTCCTGAAACTTGAGTTTTATGTGTTTAACTTTTGAGTTGAAAATTGAAAAAGTGTTTTAATTTAACTCTTTTTGTACTCTTACAGTATTTTAAAGTAGCCTTTTTTGTACTTTATCATAACGCTATCCCTCGTGTATTGATTACCTTCTAATAAAAAAAAATATTTTCTTAAAAAAGAATTCAAATAAATATTTTTTTTATTTCTTTCTTTTATTTACTAGGTACCCAGACATCTATTTCAACAGGCTTCACCTGTTAAAACAGTGTTTTAGTAGTGTGGTACCCAAAATTTTTGTTAATAATTAATGTAGGTTTATTAATATTTGCCACACGTTGACCCCACCTACCAATATAAGTCATAATTATAATTATTTATGAAAATGACTATTAGATATCAGACACCAAATTTACTCTCACAATGAACACAATAATTTAATTGTGGGAAAGCCATGCTTCGGCACGAAAGGGTCGGCTAGACCGGAGTGATACCACGGCCTCACAGAAAACCGGCGTGAAACCACCACAGCCTTGTTTTTTGCCGTGTGAGTGAGTATACCGTCCCCTACCCAAACACTCCCAATCCCTAAATCTCCCAAATCCCTAATACCCAAAAGGATGGCAACGCACTCGTAACTCCTCTGTTGTTGCGGATGTCCATGGGCGGTGCTGATTGCGTACCACCAGGTAATCCGTCAGCAAGTCTGCCGACATATCACATAAAACAAAACATTTATTATTTATTCGACAATTTTGAAAGCTTAAACTAATACACGATTTGTTATTTTATTGAAATATCAAGATATTTGGAGTCTTGATTGATTAATAAAAGCATCTCTTAGACAAGGATTTACGAATAACAAATCCGTCAAAGGACTGCCTATTGAAAAGCTAAGTTTAAAACTATGATTAAAAAGTATTCTTAGTTCTCCATTGAATTCTGAATTAATTAATTAGTCTTACTGTAATTATCTGCCTTTTAAACTAATTAAATGAAAAATATTATTTAATATTCAAATGGCATTCAATATAAAAACTAATAGATGTAATTTTGTTTGTGAAAATGTATTTTTACAATGTGTTCTTTACTAGCAGTTATTATATACTTGTCTTTAGTAATATTATAAAGAGGTAAAATTTATAAGTTTGTACGTACGGGGTAATCTTTGGAACCGCTGGTCGGATTTCCAAAATTCTTTTGCTGATAGATAGCTATCTGTACCTGTACCTGAGTGCTATGACTCATGTTATATGCTATAGACTATATAACTTCACTTTACGACCAATATGAGCCGAACAGCCGGTGAAACCGTGCTGCAGTAGCTAGTTTAAAGCATTTTAGAAAATGTTAATTAGGTATGTGCAATTGTGTACTGCAAAATATGGTACTCAGTATGCATCAGGTTTATGCATACTCATGACCTCCAGATAACATTCAGACCTGGAACATAAATTTGTAGATCAACACAGAGTTTTTCGGAAAAACTGGTCGCGGCATGTTTCACAGCAGCTGGTAGCTCTGCCACTGCACCAACAATTCTCATGTTGTTCTTGATGTTTTTCTTTACCGCTTGTCAGAGGTATTTAAATACCGTTACATACAACTCGGAAAAAGTCACATTGATATTTGTTACCCGCATCTCCACGCTTGAGAAGCTGGCCTTAAGCTCCGGGCTACCTCGATAGCACGACAGAACGACATTATAAAAATGACGACTAATATCAAAAAATCTTTTCCATACCAAATTGTAACAAACCTCAGCACCCACGCTGGTGGAATGATATGAAAAAGTCCACGTTTCGCATTTCCCAAACAAAAGGGACTATATTTATTTAGGCCTAGTTATAAATATTAGGATAACACATGGAAATTACTCGTCGTCTCAGCAAAAAACCTTTTATTCGTTGGTGTGTGCTCAATATATTATCTACGAGTACTCGGACTCACTGCGCCTTTGTTAAGGCCCCACTGTTTACTTAAAGCGATATTTTACAAAGATAAAGTAATATTAACTAAAGCCAGCGCTATGTAAGTTCTACGCATTTTACATAGTGGTTTAGTAAAATTGCTTCTTGGGTCGGTGATCTAAATAGCATAGATGAGAAAAAATACATTTTATTTCTTCGATAATTTAGATTCATTTTCTAAATTATTTCAGGATACTTTTGTTCAATGGCTTAGCAGTCTAAACCGCTTAGGCTAGGGCTAGCCTTTCAAGTATAAGTAACATTGAAAAAAGCACGTAGCTCCATTGAAAAGCCGCTGACGGTCTATTAGCCTATGATGACGTTTCAAAACTGTGTCTGGTTTAGTTCGAATTAACGTTTTTTGATTTCGACCGGCATTGACTTTCAAATGCGTTCTCACTGAGCTTGATGCTCAGCTCTCCTCATCCAACCTCTGCCAGCCACTTTTTGGATATTGTCACTCCGCCTCGCTGCAGTGTTGGGCAAAATGAAATCTAACTACTGATTACTAACTACAATTACATTTTGTAGTTAGTAATCAAAACTACAAATTACATTAAATAATCGTAAAAAGTAGTTAAAAATTTTGATTACTAACTACAAATTGTAGTTGCAATCACGATTACGAGATTACTTTTTATAACTACCTACACATTTTAAATAATGAAACGCGCGTTCATGTACCGACATGTCGTTTGCTAGTTAGGTAGCTAGAGTGTGATGCCGTGACTGTTAGAGCGAGGACTACCTATTGCTATAGCGCGCTGTCACTCTCGCTCGTTGCCTGTCGGTACGAGTCGTTACTTGGTTACGGTGGCAGTGTATGCAATTGCGTCTAACAGTTTGTTATTTTCTTGTGATCCTAGTTTGTTGTGCAATATGAACGATTCAGATGAGTTTCTATCTCTGTGTAATGAAGCTTCAACTTCAAGTTCTAACAACGTAGTGGAAAATGTTGGCAAAAACTTGCCGCGTATTCTTGATGGCAAGTTCTTTCAATTTTGTAAAGAAGAGTCTACAGATCGCAAACGAGTTGGAATGTGCACGTTGTGCTTGCCAAAACAAGTCAAAATATCCGGAACGTTGCCTTCAACGTCTAACTTTGTTACGCACCTAAAAAGAAAACATGGAGAAAGTGCACTCAACGACTATAAAACATATTTTGCCAGTAATAAAAAAACGAAGAAAACAAGTCCAGAAACTCAGTTACAGTCAAAAGCTAAGGCATCACAAGAAGAATTTAATGAAAACATTGTCAAATTTTTCATACATTCCCTGATACCCCTCAGAGCAATTGAGGATCCGTACCTGAAAAAAACCTATGAAAATGCAGGTATGTGTCAAAATGGCTTAACCTTAATGAGTCGACGATCTTTGGGACGTTTTATAAATGATTATTATATTAAAGAAATACGTGATATAAAAACCGTGCTTCAAGATACTTCATATGTATGTACCACAGCAGATATTTGGTCTGGAAAAAAAAGAAGTTTCATAGGAGTCACGGCACATTGGATAACGTCTTCTTTGCAAAGAGAATCTAAGACACTGGCATGTCGAAGATTCAAAGGGACGCATAGCTATGACAGAATTGCTGTTTTATTAGAAAATATTCATAGTGAATTTGGACTTGACTCGCGAAAAGTGCTATCTACTATCACTGATAATGGAAGTAATTTTGTAAAGGCTTTCGCAGAGTTTGGTGTGGAAATAGATTCTATTAATTCGATCGAAATAGTTGAATTTGAAGATAAAGACTCAGAAATTGAGGACATTTTTAATGCTTCAGAAGATGATGTTCAATCAGAAGTTAGTAGTACAACATCGCATGACAAGTCTGAAACCGATCCCTTATCTATTGAAAATGTTCATGTGTCTCCTGAACTGCCAGCTCACCTGAGATGTTCTGCTCATAAACTTAACTTGTGCGCAACCACAGATGCTGGAAAAGTGCTTCGAAATCAAAATACCAGCCTATCCAAAACGCATGAGCGAGTAATAAATAAATGCAACAAACTATGGAATGCTGCTGGTCGGCCAAAATCAGCAGAAATAATCCAAACGGTTTTGGGACATACGTTATCAAGGCCAGGAGATACTAGGTGGAATAGTACTTACGACGCACTAGGACAAATATATGCTATAAAAGATAAAAGCATTCCGCTGTATGAAACTTTAAAAATCAGTTGCAGTAGTCAGTTGCGGCACAACGAATTCCATTACATCCAAGAATACTTAAAATGTTCTAAACCAATAGCAGATGCACTTGACATTTTGCAAGGTGAAAAGGATATGTATTATGGTTTACTACTTCCTTGTTTATTATCTCTGAGACGAAAATTACAAAAACTGTGCAATGAAAACTTTGTTTACTGTAACAGTTTGGCAAGAACACACTTGGAAAGCGTAAATAACCGGTTTAATGACATTTTTGATTTTTGTACCACCAAAGCACAGAATGCAGCGATCGCTGCTATGTCTTTACCACGATTTAAAACAAAATGGTTTTCGTGTATTCCCACAGAAGAGCATCAAAGATTGAAATCATTTTTCAAAGCCACTATTGCAAAAGAAGTTTCGGAAAATACTGATTCGAGTTCAGCAATGAAAAATCAAAATAAAAATGATTTTTTTCAATTTGATAGCTCTTCTTCTGATACTGAGGAAGACGTATACCGAGTGCAGAGGTCAAAAGCCGATCTGATAGTTTCCTATTATTTATCAGATATGGAACAAGATTTAAATGCTCTTCATAGATACCCAGAAGTGAAAAAAGTATTTATAAAATACAATACCCCTTTACCTTCTTCAGCTCCAGTGGAAAGACTATTTTCATATGCCACCATGATAAATCATCCGAAATCCCACAAGCTGTCCGATGAAATGTTCGAAAAACGAGTAGTATTGAAGGCTAATTTGAATGATTAGTCCAATCGACATTTTTTTTTATTTTATTTTATTCGTAAATAATTTGGATTAAGTTGATTTTTTCTGAGTAAAGTTGATTTTTTTGATTACTTGTCAATCGGCTCAATAATGGTATCTAATAAATATAAACATATTTACAGCCTCCAGCTTTGTATTCAGTCATTCGAAAAATAAACATACGTGAAATAAACTGAAGTTTTTTTTATACTTTTTTTTATTCCATTTTTTTTTCATTAAATTTTAGTGCCCAATTCAGTTTTTCAAAATCTTCTTATAATTCCAACACATTATACTTTATTTAAATGCAAAATACAAGTTCTTAGAAGTCAAATAATCAGTAGTTATAACTACTAGACTACAGCAATCAAATTACTAACTACTTCATGTAGTTCGATTACTTTAGTTAAGTTAAAAGTAATCGTAACTACATGTAGTTAACTACTTTTAATCGTAATTAGTAATCTGATTACAAAATAGTAGTTAACTACGCCCTACACTGCCTCGCTGGACGTCTTACACAACGTTTGCCTAGACACTGTCTTCACTTTAGCACATGTCTACCTTAACAGCCGTTATTTCTTCAACAAAATAGCTAATTGCTAATTCAGTTAACTAATCCTTTAGGTTATGTCGATAACTTTAGTTTTCTGTGAAATTCTGAATTCGGCCTGTTAAAAACACTCCAAGCATTGCCCTCTCCATAATTTGCTGAGCGACTTTAGAATTAGCTGTTCACTTGCACTGTCAGTGTCCACGCCTAGGCTCCATATGTTAGTATTGGTATAACGCGCTACACGCATGGCGTTGTGATATTACCCACTAAATATTAACATCAGCGTTTCGATCGAAAATTAAGGCACGACCACCACGATAATACAAAGGCAACGAATCTAAACTCAATAAAGCAGTCATAGCTACAAGTAATCATGTAGCTTTTAGTTTCAAACCGAATTCACCGTTCTAGGCAGAACTTTATATAGTGGTAGTAACTTTGTTCCACTTCCTAACTGCAGATGGTCAGTAGCTGTTAAATTTGGCTGCCTAACGTTATACAGTATTAGGCTTTAGCTAACTCTCGTAGGTTTTAATTAGTTTTCGCGAGAACATTTGATTTTGTAGCTGAATAATGTTTTGCATAGTTTTTATAAAACAATGTTTCGTTTTTCGAATAGTTTGGTATTTAGTACCTATGACAGAATTTGATAGTGAAGTCAAGTTTGACAACAAATTCAACGAACGAATACAGAAAGTTATAGTTGTATTCATATATTTTTGCTGTACTTTGTAAAGGTAGCCTTCTTCCAAACTACGCAATGTAAATCATACTTACATAAAAATTCTGCAATCGTTTCTAAAATAAATTTATTTGTTATCAAAACTAATATGAAAATCAGGAGAAAAAACGCAAATAAAACAACTTCAAACAAACGTAACTCTGTCTCCTGAAAGTTACAATAAAAATACTAATTCAAAGCTGAAGCTCTGAAGAGAGAAAAATAAACTAGAATACATAATTTCTGAATTTAGTTTCTGAACAAGTCGAGTTGCTACCTTCAAGCGAGGTGTTCTATTAATTATTAGTTGGCTCCGGTTGTTGCCAACTTCACGATATCTCGCAATTAGCGCCCTCTAGCGGGATGTTGGGTTTTTATCTTTACTTTACGAGGCCCGGATTAAAAGTTTGCGTAGTTTTTTTCTGTGCTGTGGTTGGAACATCGACGTTGCTAGTTTTTATTGGTAAGTAGGTTTTTAGTTGAAGTTATGTGTCATAGTTTTAATTAAAAATTGATCACGAAAATTTCGGGTTGAATGGAAAAATAATGAAAAACTTTGAAATCAATGTTGCCAATAATAATTTCGGTAATTTTGGTAATTTTAGGCGTATTTTTATTTCACGGTGATAAAAAAAAATGCCAAAAATAGCACTTTGTCTATCATGAAAACCAATGATGCATTATCTCGTCTTTTCGCGTTTATCACAAAATCACGAAACAAGACAGACACTGAAAGTCAACTATGTTCTACTACCTAAAAGCTTAGCCAATAATTTGACGAACCACTTCATAGATGAAAGTGTAAATTGAAGTGTTTTAGAAATTAAAGTTCTAGTTGAAAATGTTACTACAAAATTACCAAATATAGAGACTAAAATGGTGATTAACAAAATTTGGTTATTTCTGTGGCTATTATCAAGGTCCCTAAGATAACGACCAAGGCGTTGAAGGGGAAAAGGATAGGACAAGGAGGAGGAAGGATATCAAAAGTAAGGATTTTGTTAATATTGACAGGGAACGAAATTTTAAATTGAGAATTTTGATAATTTGAAACATTATGATAGTGGATGAAAGAACAAACATTTTATATTATTTAATCCATTTTCGGAGGGTAGAAGGTCATCAAATTATAGCATGTTATAACAACATGTGTGGGTTGAGAGAGATTTTTAGACTCTTACTGACTGAAAACCACCCCGTTTGCTTTCCTGCCTCAAAATGGACAGAACTAGGCCATAATAGTAGTAGTAGTAGTAGTAGGCCCCATCTGTGGTGGCCCGGTGGCCTTCATAGGGTTCTTCATCTCCTCGTCCACAGACCAGCAGTGGACCTTACGGAGGCCGGAGATCGTCGCGCGATCCCCGATGCCTGGAGCACTGCAGATTTTTTTCAATGCTTCATGATATTATTTTACCAATTAAAGTCAATAGCGAATTAGATGATGTATTCATGGACTTTGTGGATTGTGGAATGAAATGGAAAGGACTTGTCTAGAACGTAATTCTCCTATGTTATTTTAAAAACAAATGTCCACCAACCGTTCACCAAGCTAAGTAAACGATGAACAAAAATATGACACCAATTTCACAAAGTCCCGATTTCCTTTACAAAAGCTTACGTACTAAGCAAAAAACCGGAGTAATCGGCATTTCGAAATCTCTGAATTGTGACACAAAAGTGTCGTCGTATATAATCTTTTTGTCTTGCGTAATACGTCGCGAACGTAATTCTCAATATCTGTATTGACAGACGACAGTAATAATTTTACGATCGAATGGGAATCTACGTTTTACGATTACGTGAGTGGACTCGTTATGATTGCCGGTTATATCGTTTAGTGTATCGAAAAGGTTTCTTTAATGTGTGTATTTGTTACTTCGTATTTGTCAATCGGCTCTCGTCTCATCTCGGAAGTCTGTATTTTATGTTTTATGTGTATTTTTTTACTTACTACTTTATTGTACACCGTTTATAGGACCACTTACAAAAAATTCAATGTACAATGGGTGGTCTTATTGCACAAGACGGTTTCTTACAGATATGCTATGGATGAAGCTGTAATATGAGTGGTCAAGTGTAACGTATTTAAATACTAACTATTTCAAATAATATACAAATGTATTTGTATAATTTTTGTAATGTTTTGAAGAGAAATTTTCGAACAAAATTAAGTCATAGATAGGAGGATTAGATGAGACTCCCTCATTAATTAGATGACCTCAAGAATGACGGCCGAGCAAGGGGTTTTAGTATCTGAAGGCCTCGGTAATGGAGTGGAGTATTAAAGTCGTGAGTACACGTGACTCGTAACGGAATAGAGACACATATATGATATGCTCCTGCGCCGTGGATGCCTATACTAACATACAATTTCACATACACATCACACCCAGATTGAAAACAGCAATTTATCGGTCACACAAAGACCACCAGGCTCACCTTCCTAGCCACTGCGTTAACAGTACAGTCGAAACCTCTGCCTTTACAGTTTGATCCTCAATTAATAAATAATAAGTAATTGCCGAACTGATACACCACAAACTGAGCGAAACAATATATTAATAATATCAAAAATGAATTCTAGGAACGGATAACCTCAGGCCACGTGTCTCAATTACCCTATCCAACAAAGTTATATTGTTGTTGAAACAGGTGATCATCAAATTGATTTTGGTTAAAATTAAAACAAACTTTTGTAATTGAAATTCATATACCTATTATTTTAGTGATAATTTTAGACATTGAAGATTTTGGACGTCGTGGTGGACCAAGGGCGTCCTCTTCCCAAACAAAAGGGCGCGGTTTGAAACCTGTAAAGTATCAGAAACGTAACATTTACTTTTCTTAGCTAAGTACCTATATGTACTTTCTAAGATCATGTAGACACCACTGGCATACGGTGAAGGTAAACATCGTGAGGAAATATAAACTTAATTACAAGTTTGAAATCGCCAATCCACCTTGAGCAAGCGTCGTGATAAATGCTCATTCCTTATTCGTGTGAGAAGAGGCCTTTGCTCAGCAGTGGGCCCTTATGGCTAGTGATGTATGTGTGATAATATAATTATGATAAAAATACAGCTGTGATGGTGAATAACAAGACATTACGTATGTTTTAATAATATTTCGCTTAAACAAGTTCAAGTAGCCAATTAATAACAGTTATACAGTTCAAACTTTATTTTAACTAATTAATGTTTCTAAGTTAACCGCTAAGTTAACATTTTACTTGTAAAACCCAGTTATTCTCAAGTTTTGATGTAAATTGCCTTAAACTTATGCACGCTAGGTACAAACTGCAAACATGTAACGAGTTATATTCAAGTTGACCATAGAATACGAAATGCTTTGAAGTTATATTGTTTATGTGCACACTAACGTGGATGTAAATTGTGTATGCATGTTTATGTACACATATATATACACGTGTGTATAACCACTACGTAACATATAAAGGTGTATTAGTGAATGAGTTGAATGAGCGAGATAGTATTATCATAAATTTATTAAAAAAGTAGGTGTGTCTCGCAGGTTATAGCCTACTGGCGACGTCACACGGGTGCAATGCAGTCACTAAATTTATTCCATAATTGGGTAGTTTCCTAGGTCAAAAATAAATTAATCCGATGTTTCAATACAAAAAAATATTGAAAAATAACTATACTTTTATTCATCGATCGATCGATACACCAAGTTTTGGATTTTTTTAGCTAATTATTGTGAAAT